CCCATAGGAGTAGATGTAGCTACCAATCTTCTACCTTCTACAGTCGTAGGAAGCAGGAATAGGAGAGAAGAAAAGCAGGAAAGAAGGAAAGCACGAAAGTAAAAACCGGCCGATTTTTGAAGTCGTTACCACTGTAGAAGGTAGAAGATAGGTAGCTACATCTACTCCTATGGTTGTGCTAAGAGGAGTGCGGGTGGAGGGGGGCAGGGAGGTTGAGAGTGAGTAACCTGACAACATTTAGGTCTGCCCCGTTAGGCTTCCGATACCCGAAGAAGATTTACGTACTGTCGCAACTAACGTACACATATCGGCGGTTTCACTGGTAATGAGATTTTACGCAGAGGCCGTTGGCTTTCTCTCTCACTTGCAAGAATTACGAGGTGACTAACACCATTTCTATTGTCTTGATTTGTGTACTTTCCTGCTTTCCTTCTTTCCCACTTTCTTGCTATCCTTCTTTCCTGCTATCCTTGTTTCCTTCTTTCCTTCTTTCCTTCTTTCCTTCTTCCTGCTTTCCTTCTTTCCTACTTTCTTGCTATCCTTCTTTCCTGCTATCCTTGTTTCCTTCTTTCCTACTTTCTTGCTATCCTTCTTTCCTACTTTCTTGCTATCCTTCTTTCCTGCTATCCTTGTTTCCTACTTTCCTGCTTTCCTTCTTCCTTCTTTCCCGCTATCCGTGTTTCCTTCTTTTCTACTTTCCTTCTTTCCCGCTATCCTTCTTTCTAAGGGCTATTTTATTTTATCTGTGCCTAGACATAGTTATATATAAGCGCATAGGGTAAAAGTCGCCTACTTATCACACAGAATCAGTATCCACAGTACTGTAGCTGTAATAGCATCAATACAGACAGTAATTTCAATCACTCATCACACCGTACTAAGTCCACAAAGGTAGAAATCTGTTCAAGCAGGCTGAAAATTTTCTCTCAGTTCGGTTTTTTATTTCAGTCAGTTAAAAATCCCACTTTTAATAAATATTCAAAACCAAATTCGCCGCGATTAGTCTTGTGATCAATTATGACGAACTTCTTCTCCCTTTTAAGTGCAAACTGCATTTCGTTTGCATGTCTCTCCTCATCTTTAATGATAAAACAATTTTCGATAGCAAACGGATGGACTATATAGTCAAACTGTTTGTAGCGTCCATTTAGACCTTTTCTTTTTAAAAATCCGCACTGTTGGTCACTGATATATACATGACGTACTCTCTGCCCACGCGAAGCACTCAAACCTTCAAATATTCGTCTTTTTAAACGATTTTTCAAACCGTTTGTCATCATTCTGCTCTCATTAACTGATATGGCTATTACTTGCTGTTGGTGCTGAGTATTCCCGTCTGCAGCATGTTCCAGTAATAGCCACGTTGTTTAGTTTTCTGTCGTAGATGCATGAGAAAAAATATGTACGTTTTCAATGTAAAAAATACAAGGATAAAAAGACATTACAAAATACAAACCAATAATAAAGACAGAGTATTGACTTGTTTTTCATAGTTTCTAAATTTTGGGTAATCTGAATGTAAATTAAAGCTTAATTTAAAAGTAGGAAAAATATCAAGATTATTAATCACATTGAACACAATGGGTAGTTTATATCATGCAAGGAATGCTGCGTGATCGGTATTCCTTGAATATGCATCTTTACACCTGTCAGTCAGAAAAACAAGGCCTACTGTACGTTGGAAACTGTTTGGTGGAGTAACAAATTTGTTTGTTATTTTCGTTATTGCTGTTATCTGACATAACAAGGTGTATTGTGCATGTACCGTATAGTATCGGCTACTGTTATAGTCAAAAATGTACGCAATGTCTGCTCCAGATTGAAATGTAAATATACAAATAACTTAATGCTTACCTTGCCCTTATTCACATTTTCTAATTCATACAAACAAAGAATAATGGCTACAACCACTACAACAACCCGAGAAAAAAAGAAATAACAGCATATAGAGAAAGAAAAAAATTCGAACAAACAACGGAAAAAAAAAGTTTTTCGTGTTTAGTCTTTTGTTGAATTTTGTTCAGGAAGAGAGGAAAGTGGTGCTAAGCGTGCAGATGGAAAACCATCATTTGGCAAGCGAATTGGCGGTTATTGTTCAGGTACAAAAAGTGAGAGTAGCTTAAAATCATAGTGTTTATTTGTTCAGAGAAAAAGCATTTCGGTTCTTTGCGGTTTCGATTTCTTTCCTTTTAACATGCCATCGCTGGATCAATACGTATGAGTCTATTTTGATTATCATCCGACATAATCATAACATAATTATCAAGAAATATCATATCGAAAATGTTAGTTACATATCGCCAATCAGCAATATTTGTCCATGAACTGTTGTAAACTTTCAATCCAAAATTTTGAAATGAAAACCATCCTCTCTGACAATCATCTATTGTCACATGATCACCGCCATGTAAAGTAGAATTAGGATTTGGTACAAGTAATGTTTGTGTCCATGGTAATATCGCAGTCATTGAAGTCCATTGTGATTTTGGACCAAACTGAAAATATTGTTCTTGACTGAATGAATAAATTTCATTGTTATACCATGAAGTAAGATAAAATAGAGAATCACTTATGTAATGTAAACCATGTGGATTAACTGCTGTTGTTGATATTTGTTTTAAATAAGTGTAATTTGTTGATGAATAGCGTTGGAAAAATAATAGTTGTGCATTGCCAGTATTTGCAATAATTAGAAAATTTTGAATAAATATCATATCACGTGGACTAGTAATTGATGAATGATAAATATTTGCTATTAAAGATTGTGTACTACTATTATAAACCATTATACTATTATTGGCTAGAGAGAGGAAGTATGAATTATCGTAAAACAAAAGATTATTTCCAGAAACACCGAGTGATAATTGATCTATCAATGCAAGTGTTGTCGCATTAAAACGTTTCAATGTAGAATTTGTTTTTTGTTCAATAGTAACTATATAATTTTGTACACGATCATAAATTAAGCATCGTGGCTGTGTAATATTAGAAGTTTTAACGGATGTAGCCCCTTGTAGGTTTTGTAAGAGTACTGTAACATTTGACATACAGCATGATTGATTTTTAGTGGCATTTTCCAGTTGGTTGTTCAGTATATCTGAGAAAACAGATGGTTGAAAATAGATTTTAACTTGTAAAGCGGAGATTATACTGTAGATTGTAGATGACGAGTTTAAGAAAAATTGACATGTATTATTATTTGTATAACAGTTGAATCCAACAAAGTCAATTTGTGCCGTTGTACTATAACAGAGACATTCGTAGCATGAACCATTGTAGTAAATAGTTATTGTTGTATTAACACTATTTACAGATTGTAGAAGAGCATTTTGTATGAATGGTACTTGTACAACAGTAACAATAGTTTGAATTTTAAAAAGCAAAACCAAGTGAACAAGAACTATTAACATGTTAGAGGAAAAGAGCGAAAAAAGAAGAGGAATGAAGCATAAGAAGAAAAAGAGGAATTATATCGTTTTGTTTTCTCTAAATTATATTTTTTTTTCACCGTTTTTCCGACGGATCGTTTATTTGAGCTTTTAGTATCGAAATGGAGATGTCGCTTTTGGACTCACTCTAGAGATTCTTTGCAGTGTATTTTGTAGAGAATAATGCACGTACACTTTGTAGAGAAATGATCGCTCTACAAACTACCTGAAAATTATACTACTGTTATACGAAAACTGCCTGCAAAACTTGCTTTAACAAAAACCCAACTTTTGGAAGGGAGTGACCCTGTTGTTTTTTAATTTTATAAACAGTGAACTTTTCTATTTCTCGTTAAAACGAGACATTATGCGCATTTCTTCGATATATTTCTTCGAAGTTACGAGCATTTTGCTAAAAGCAATAAAAATGCACAAATAAAACATTTGATTGGATGAAAATTTTATCTCATACTTGAATCACGTTTTGTGGAAGTTTGAGCCAAATTGGATAAGAAGCATTAAGAAGAATATATTTGTTTCTGAGGGGACTATGTCCTTAAAAAACAAGCCAAGTTTTTCCCTTTGGAAAACAAACATCCGATTTATTTGAAATTTTCTATGTTTTTTTGATGTAATGTAAATAAAATAAAAACGTGTAAATACAGCTTTTCTTCTTTTACAAAATAAATACAATTTTTTATTTAACACGGAAATTATTAATGTTCTATGTATCTTTACAAAAAAACAGAATTCTAAATGAACAAATACTGTATTTGAACATTGCATATATTGACATTCTTTGATCTTTTTTTACGTTTTTCATAAACCTAAGTATATTTAATATAATTGAAAATCGTTTTACATAAAAAGCGAGCTTTCGATACTTCACAGTTTCATCATCAGGCTAATATGACCCTGTCGAATTTAGAAGAGAGATGACTATGTATACTAATTGAAACAGGGAAGAACGAAAAATAGTCACTCAGTTGTATACTACATATTTTTCTATTTTAAGTTTTTTCTAGTGCTTTCATTCTCCTCTGTTACAACTAGTATATAAAATCATCTCTCGTCTAAATTCGATAGTCATATTGGCCTGATGATGATACTGTGAAGTATCGAAAGCTCCTTTTATGTAAAATGATTTTACAAAAATGTTTTTCAATTATACTGAACATCTCATTTTCAAAAGACTTTTAAATTTATTAGCTTTTTTTTTATTATTAGCTTATCGAGGATATGATTGTTTTAAGAGGCAGTTTGTGCCGCTGTTCAGAAAATGCTTAACATGGGCAAAAATTAAGGTGCTATTTTCTAATTTCATTGTATAGGGCGTTCAAATTTATTCCATAAAGGTCCCGAAATGACATCTCTATTTTGATACTGATCTCATGTAGTCTTTTCTTTTCTCAAATAATTTAATTTCATCTAATCAATCGAGTTTTATGAAACAATACTCTTGTGTCAATTATGGGTTTTTTAATTTTACTCAAAAATAGGCAAAAATGGGTTATTCCATCCAATATCGGGCATCTTAAATATAAATAAGCAAGAACACGAGGATTTACAAAATTACTAGACATTTTCTTGCTGGCGACTGAAATTAGAAATGCAATTACATGATCGAGAAATGTATTCTTGTCGTGGTAAATCGGAAAATCAAAAAAGAACTTTAGGGTTTGTGCAAACGTAACGGCGTGACATTTTGACATGCTCAATTTTTATAAAAACTATAAGAGGTAGAAGGATGATTCTGCCGTAACTGTATTCTTGTTGCAACTCACTCTCACGCTACCATTAGTCATCACTATAAGCCTGATAAATGGACGAATCTAAAAGTCTAACACAGGCTATGGAATTGAAACGACTTTTTAGATTTTTTAAAAGTCTAATTAGACTTTTGACTTCTACATGTATGGCAGAATTACCTAGAATCAGAACCTTTAACAGCAACTGCAGTCACTTCTCACTGTCTATTTCACAAAATAAAAACACTCCTGGCTGCTTTCTACAGCAGTCATACAAATCGAGCGAAAAAACTCTTTCATGTAACCTTTATTCTCCCAAGTAAAAAATCTTGACTGCAGATCTTGATAAAAACTTGAAAGATTTCTTAAGCTGTTCAGTTCTTTCAAGAAACATGCAGATTTATTGATATCTATCAAAATCCGCTCTTACGGTGCTGTTCAGTCGAACGTTACGTCCGTAACGAATTTGAGGATTTTTGAACTTTTCTACAGTGCAGATTAGGTCGTTTCCCGCTAACCGTCAATTTTTCCCGTCAAAAATGGCCGCCGTTATAAATATAAAAAAGGAAAAGAACAAATTTGATTGATCGGTTTTTTGAAATCCAGTTCGTAGAAAAATCTAGCAATCAAAATAGAGAAATCGGTCTGCAACTGAAAGGTTGACTACGTCTGTTAACTTATCATCTTTTCTCATTGGTTTGTACGATTTAGTTACTTTCTGTCTGTGTATATTTTATATATAACATGTAATTTATACGATAGACACATCACGTGTCTACAAGTGTCACACGTGTATAGAGATGTCTGTCCTTTTCTTATTTTTATTTCATACGAGATAAATATAAGTGAACAAATAGTCTGTCTGTTATATGAATACTGTTTTCCAATGTGCTGTACCATAATAAGTATAGAGTTACATAAAAGAACACGAGCAGACTTGTGAAATAAAGGAGGCTTTTCTGCATGCGAAACGGACACAAATAAAATTACTCTGTATTTTGTTTCAGCTCACTCTCTAACTGAGAACAAGATAGCTTGCTTGCATCATGTTCCCGAAGAAAAAACCGGGTAAAACATGGTGGAAGTAGTCTGAGAAAACGTTACGTAACCTTATAAGCCCCGGGATCAGGGTACCCAAGCCAATTTGTCGAAATCAAGAGCTTTTCGTTAAAAATCCGGAGATTTTTTTTCGAAATCGAAAGAGAAACCTGAGTATCGAGCAGTTTTTTCTTGGACTGGCAAAACAAAAAAATCGAAAAAATTTTTTAAAAAAAAATTTGCTTTGAAATATTTTTTGATGGAATAGTATTATCATTTCTTACAACCTGCAGTACGCATTGAGGAAGCAGATTTGGATCCAATGAAGTTGGAAGTTCACTAATCTCATCTTCTTGTGATGAGAACATTCGATAAGCATACAGCGGACTCTTTCAATGTACAATTATTTAGATTCTTGGTCCAGAAATTCTCTTTATGACAATGATAATCTCAGTTTTAGAAAGAACGAAATCGATGCAGGAAAACAATTGAAAATCAGGAGAGGAGAAAATCTTCAAAATCAGCTCCTGAAATCAGAAGATTTGTCATGACGAGAAAAGTCTAAAAATAACGGGCCTCCTGCTAAGTCCGGAGATTCGGGCACTCTGTCCGACATGAACTTTTATCGTTTGACTGAGACTTTTTTGAAGAAAACTTCTTTATAGTTCTCATTCCTTTACACTTTTGAAGAACTGCGATAATCAAGGTATTGGTCTAATCGCATGATGTTTTATCCGGTTTGGTCTTCGGGAACTTGATGCAATCAAGGAAAATCATTTACGCTCAGTTAGACATCGACATTTTCATTCATTTCTCACTTCTGTGGATCTTTATTCTGAGATTTTCACACAATTAACATGTTTAATTGAGCCTTATACATCAGAAAACTGCTGAGATTAATGCATTTTCTAAGAAAGAACGCCGCCTTTTGATACTCAGAATGGCTGACGAAACAAATTTCCAATTTTTCTACACTTAAGAAACGTTTTTGAGTTCACTACTCTTTACTCAGTTGCACAAATTGAATCTTTGAAATGTTACAGGTGAAGACAAGATAGCAGAAAAAAGAATTCTCTGCCTTTCTGGCGGTCGAAAAAATTATGAACGGTTATGATCCATAAAATATCACATATAATATAAAAGAACCAATCACAAGTTTGATAAGTATATCTGTTATAGTATCGTTTTTAGGTCAAAGTCAATCTAATCCTTTTAATTCTCACAGTTTTATGGCTTAAAACAGCTTCATTGCTCTTTTATTTCGGCAGCCATTTTTTGTCGTTTTTACATAGTTTTTGATCTGACGGATAGCCGTTTTCAAAATTTCTGCTAACCGTCAATTGACGGCTATTTTTGACGGCTAGCGGGAAACAACCTGCAGATTATATATCTATATATAGATTTTTCTGGTGGAGTTGGAGTTGAGATTTTAGGAGGTTGGAGTTGGGTTTTTGAACTTTTATTCTCAACCTCGTTTTGCATTTTTGGAAATATTCAATGGTTGTAAAACTGATCTTCTAAACGACTGAGTGGCTGTATTCACGAGTGAATTCGGACGTTCGTTGCGCTTTCCGACCGGTAAAAGCTCAAAAACGTCCAAAATCCTGCTAAAAACCGAAAAATCTTCCTTACAAAAGTGAAGCAACCGGAATTGAACGGGAGTTGAGATTTTGTTGAGAGAGTTGGAGTTGAAAAATTTTAAGCGGAGTTGGAGTTATACTTGGATCGGAAATTTGAAAACGGAGTTGGAGTTGAAAGTCAGCGGAGTTGCCCATCCCTGACAAAGAATATCAATATGCATTGATGAAAAAATGTGAAATTCTTGTAGTTACCGTCCACTCACCTGCCTTGTCCAAATATGGAACTAATTTTCCTAATTAGTAATTACATTAATGAGTTCAGAAAAGTTTTCAAATCTTTTCAAGATCTTGATACAGAATTTTGAAGATATGTCAGACTCGGATCCGTAGTAAATCTTGATCAAGAAATTTCATCATGCTATAGATCCATCTTTGCAGATTTTGACTTTCTGCAAGGCATGGATCTATAGCATGCATGCAGTTAAAACAGTTCTTTCAATCCGTGGATACCTATAGTCCATAAGTTATAGTCAAGCTGTTAAATTTTTGACTTGTTAATATGAACAAACATTCATATTTATTTATATGACCCTTACTAACAAGGGAAAAATAGTGACAATCGGGAAAATAGCATATTAATAGATAATCGATAGCGCTCTATCGAATGTACGCCTCAGATTTTCTTCGCTTACACTGTAAAGTCGGGAATTATGCATAGAACATGCTCGGCGACTTTCCAAAAGTCCATATATAAAATCCTCACGGATTTTCTAGATGATAGAAAATCGAATTTCCAATAATGTAGAAAATCGATGTCAATTTTCTATATTGTCGGGAATTATTTATAGAAAATCTTCAGCGAATTTCTGTCTAGAAAATCCTCAAGGATTTTATAAAACTTGAGAATCCGCGAAGCCCAGAGATGGGAGAAGGTACAAAAGTGGCCCAAGATCTTTTTAGTTATGGAAAAGTGATACTGACAGATGACTGAGTATGTCCGTTAGTGTTTTACTTCCTTTCCCTTTTACTACTTTTAGTTATAAAGTGAGAGTGAGGGTAATAGTTCTGATATGCGTGAAACAGAAAAGTAAAGGAGGTAAATGGAGTAAAAGGTATGCATTTCGAAAGAGTTGGACCTGGTTTTCACTACAATTTAAACGACAAAACCGTCTTGGAAGCAGCACAAGAAACAATTAATGGCGGCTTGGCTGCAGGTGGGAAAGCATTGACGGTTGTTGGAAGCATATCCACCTTTCTGGCAAGTGGTCCAGGGATATGTTTGTCCTTGTTATTGGGTGCGGTCGTGTTGGCAGTTATCATGAAAGTGAGTTATGGTTTCATGTATTGCTCTTCCCAGATATGTCACTGTATTAGGAAATATAAATGCTATGCTACTCACAAGTCCGAAGATATACAGCTTGATTCACTTATTTTCAAACAGTTTTGGTCAGTTGACTGTACTTCTGCCAAACATAAGACGTTTTGTATTTTTATATGACTGGATGGAGCATTCATTTCTCTGTTGAACTGTATATTTTGAATCTGATTTATTCCTCATCTTGGCCGAGTATTTAGTGAACTCTACAAGCCTCCAAAAACGTTTTTTGCCATAGGATTTTTGATATTTTTCTAGTGCTGATGATAACCCGCTACATATAAATCTTGTTCTTTTTTATATGGGTGGATAGAGCGTTCATTCTCGATCGAATTATCAAATCTGACTGGTTTAACTGAGAGCTGTTACATAAATTTTACATTATGCGCTGTAAAACCTGTTTGTTCATTTCCATAACGAAAAAGTGCCAGATGACTTCAAATTTAAAAATTTAAATTAAATTTTCTCGTCGAATACACGACGATTTCATTCAGTACTTTGTATAAACACTGCTTTGATGCATCTCTTCGATCTTTCCATGCCAATCGGATTTAGTGTCAGTTAAATATTCTCCTTGCAGCAAAATGTTACTGTGAAAAAATTGTTTTGAAGGCTTTTAGAATTCACTAAATTTTCGGCCCAGATGAGGAATAAATCAGATTCAAAATATACAGCTCGATAGAGAAATGAATGCTCTATCCAACCACGTAAAAATAAAAAACGTCTAATATTTGGCAGAAATACAGTCAACTGACAAAAACTGTTTGAAAATGAATGAACCAAGTTGTGAATCATCTAAATGCGAAACTTTCACCAGATGTCGAGAACTGCTCGATGTCAACTCAGAACATATTCTCGTAACTTGGTACAAACTCATAGACCCATTCTTGACAACTGCTTTGTTAATCATATATAGATGAGATAGAGCAGGGTCAGTATATACATAAGTAATCAGGACTATGCCCTAATTAATTGTATTCACAGGCCCTTCTGGCCAAGCAACATTTCGCCGCTGTAAAAGTCGTCATATTTGTGGAAACTGTCGGAACCCTAATGTGACTGTTTTAGGTATATAGTATTAGTGTTTCTGGTATACCACTACTGTTTATAAAAACTGTCGCAAAATGTAAAAACGTAGCTAGCGACGATTCGACCGTCGAGCAGCCCATAGATTCCCTTGGAGTCCCAAAGTTCTGAAGTTTGCTTATTTCCCCTTGGTTATTACATATCATTTTCATCCATTCATGTGGAAACAATGTTTTCTACCAACAGGAATCACCGTAGAGGTCGCTCATACTCATTTTCGGATTCCTCATACTCGACTACCTACTCCATATCATTATCAGCCAGTCAACTTTTGCTCTACTAGTTTGTTTGTCGCTAGTATCCAGTCTGTGGACATACAAACAGACATTTTAACTCGATAAGACTCTTTCTTTTACAGTCAAGGGAATAATCTTAATTGGCGTCATTTATTCTAGTCCAATAAAACTTTTTGTTATAATACTTTATGTAATACTTGTTGTGGATTGCTTGATATGAAAAGTGGTCTGTGTTCAGATACCTGTCGTTTGAATGGTAAAGTCAGAATGGTGATGCACCACTTAGAGATTATGCAAAGAACAAAATATTGTTAAACATTTATTTTGGTAAAAAAAGAACCGACTTCCGAATTTTTTGTTTGGTCAGTTGATTGACGATTTACTACATCTTAAAACAGTCGGTATTACTATAATCAACAGCAAAACGAAAAAAATTGTTTAGTGTTAGACTTCAAGGTGATAAAAATGATTTACCGTGCAGATCAGTGAAGTGGAAGATTACTCAGTTTATTGGTTATGATTATTGTAGCAACTGCTTAATTCATGGTAAAATTAGAAACACCAATCTTGTTTATTATCCCTTTCCAGTTAATGATCCACTGCGTACACATGATATGTTTTTAAAAGCAGCAAAATTATCGGAGTCGCGTGCTCATCCTGGACAAATCGCCATTGTAGTAGATGAATAGAAAATTATTGACGAAGCGCGTACCGAATTTTCTAATGAACATTCCAAAACTGCCATTTTTTTGTAATAGTCATTGAAATAAAAATCAATTTTTTATTATAAAGTTATTATATTGCTGGAAATTTTACGTGCACTTTTTAGCTGAGTTTACGAGCTATTCAGATATCAGGTCGACATTTCAGTTTTAATAAACTTTCCCATCAAAACCTTGAAACTACTCTCTTAAGAGATACTTTTTGGTTTCGCGTCTACCGACATTAAACTGGAGTTTTCTTGGTGAGTTCTAGTCCCATGAAAATTAGACTAGTGCCAAAAGATAGGCAACTGAAACCATAAGCTTTTGGTAAAAGTTTTCTTAAACACCACTAGTTAAAACAGAGCAGTATAATCTTTTGATAAAAAAGTGATTTTTATACAAATATCCACCCGCATTTTCACTTTACTTCTTGTATAACTTCAGCAAGGCAAGTCCATTTGAGATTAAACTTATGCAACTATTTAAATGATAGAACTGTGTTAGAAGCACATTTATAGCAATTTGTCAGCCAAGCTTATTAGCGTTGAAAGTGCAAGAGACCGTAAACACCTGAAAAAGGCCTGATCGGATCCAGACCTCTACTGTTTGTTCTTAGACTGGGGCGGGCTGGGCGCGCGTCTCAAGTTTGCTTTACCGGACCTGGCCGGACCAGAAATTTTCGGATCGTGCCGATCTCTGATGCACTACTGTACAATCTACAGGAAAAGTGAATCTCACAAGCAAAATATTTTGCGGTAAGAAAATTCGGATAAAGTACTGAACTTAAAGCATACTGCTTCTCAGCTCGTGGCAGAAAAGAAAATTGAATTCACAGCATGATATGTATGCGAAGATGTTATAACATTACAAAATCTTTTCTTTCACATGAGCAAGGAAAATTGATGCCGATTTTAAAACTGAAAGGATCTAATTTTTTTCACTTTATGTCTCTTCGATATTTTCCTTCAAAAAATATCTTAAGGGGACCTCCTCTATTAGGAATTCGATTTTTTCTTCAAAATCTTCGAAACTAAAGTAAGCAAGCATATGGGTGACTAAATTGTTATCTTTAACAATCTATCGCAGTTTGCCAAAAAATTCAATGTTTTTGTAGGTTTTTGTAAAAAGACTTCTGGAAACCGTAAAAACCATCTTTTTCTAAACTTGAAATTTCAATTCAAAATTTTAAGGTTGTCCGTTTTAACAGACATGGAGCTAAGTTGAGCAGAGTATTCTTATAAAAATGAGATGGCTCGCAGATCCGTACTACTTTGCCTTGCAAAGTTATAGTAGTTTTGCTAAAGGTGCTGAATTATAATTAATGAAATGATGACACCTTTGCTTAGAATACGGTTTTGGCGAAACAAAATTGCTACTCCTCCTAGACCATTCATCATAAAACCTTCATTTTCTTTTATTTTGAACCTAGGACATTGTTATCCGTCCGTTCTACTTTCCTTTGGAATGAGAGATTCTCCCGGGTTCAATTGTCTGGTATTCAATCTTACCTTAATCAGGATCGTAGCCAGGGATAGGCGAACAGGGCACGTGCCCACCTCTTGAGATTTTACTTCAATATATAATATATCTTAAACTTATAGGTGATAAACGCCGTGTGGAGATAAAACGCAAGAAAAAGTGCTCGGCCTAGCTTTAACATGGAAATTCAGACTAGTAAAGATGGAACTTTTTTGTAGATGCCCATCTCTTACCAGATTTCTGGCTACGGCCCTGACCTTAATCACTAAATCGATGATAACACTTTATATAGAGTATAGATGTTTAACAAAATGGTAACAGTACGTAAATGAGATAGAAAATACAATAGAACTTATAGCAACAAAACTCGTAGAACATCGTTGCAACAAAACTTGATACGGTCTAAGGTTTCGATTCCGAATTTTTAGAATAAGCTAGCTGGACAGTATGCCTTAGTCATTGTAAGCTTCATCGAACTCGGGTGTAAGATAAAAAAAATTTTCTTGGGACGACCCCCTTAACCACTTGTCTGTATTGCAGTAAAATTTTCGGATTTTGGTTTGTAAAAGTATATGAACGGATGAAATATGCAATAAACAGTAAAAATATAATTTAAATTAAAATTTAATTAAAAGAATCGCTTTACTGATGTATAATTGTTTGTGTAAGTCTATTTTCCTCCGAGCAGTTCGTTTACTCTTAAAAGCCGTATACAATTTTAAAAAAAGGAGAATGAATTCTTTCCTTTTCTTTTACCTTTCGATAAAGAATGATCGACAAATATAATTTTATTTCGAATTTAACATCTTTTTTAAAAATAATAATATGAGACATAAACTATACATGTGACATTTTATGGTAACTATATCCATTTTAATGATAGATATCGAATATGTCGATGTGTTTTCATGCCCATTTATATGAAAGATTTTGTTAGAGAGATGCTATTATGTGCATCTTGATGTTCATGTTTAGTTGTGTGTATGCATTAGAGATGCAATACCTTCGCAAGCTCTCGTTATGCAGGTAGAGTATGATGCAGAGCTTTAGTGAATGTGAGTTATTTTGTTAAGTTGGCAATCCGTCAAATTGAAAGACGTTTCATTGTTTCGCTGATGGACACGTCAGAAAACCGACTTTCAGAGAGTTGAACTTCAAAGATCACTTTGGTGTGAGTAAGTAACTACGGCCATAATGATGGCGAATATGACTACTATGGCAAGTTTGGTCATACTTGTCTTTATAATTGCCATACTGGCCATCACAAGTACTACAGTGGCCACTGTAGGGTAAGAGAGCCCCGCACATCAAGGTGAATTTTATGCTCTCTGGAATATACAATGGTCAACAAAATTGATCATACACTCCTCATGTTAACTTATGATTGATATTTCTCCGAAATGAAATCACCTGTAAAGTTCGGAGTTTTGCTAAAATGTTGCAAATTTATTGTAATTTATTTGCTTGAAATAGAAAGTGCTCATGTCATATAGTCATTGTGATAGATCAGGAAGAGTGAGATGGACGACTTTCTCTGTTCAATAAAATTAATCATACAGTTCGATTTTTTAACTTTTTACATAGTAGACTTTAGTTTTAATATGACAAAACGAGCGTATTTTGTGCAGTTTTTCGTGCTCTTTTGACTCATATGTAGTGCAGAATTTTAAATGAGAGAGTGGAGAAAAAGGAAACGAAATACAAACAGTCATTTTTTTCTATTCTTTCGATATTTTGTAATGCTTCGTGTAAAAAATTCATATTTTTCTCAGAAAAGACTTTTTTGTTTTTCGAATCGTCCTCCTTGAATTCTTTACACAAAACTCCAAAGGCGCTTAAGTTTATTAACCTTGAAAATCATCAGGTCGCATGATTGACGCATTGTATGTCGCTAGTTTATCGGAATGTGTCAAATTAGGCAATGTAGCGCCTGTTAAAGGATAGAAACTAGCACTTATATCTCACAAGACTAAGTATGAACTCTTAGAAATTCCCAGATCCCAGGTGTATGAAAAACGAAATATCTATGCACTTCTAACTCAATTAAAATTATGAACTTTCGAAGATTTTGCGGTTCTGCGGCACGAGAGTGGCTAACTTTCGCAGTGTATAGATGGTTTATGTACTATCCACTTACAACGTGCTTGATTTTAAGACAAAAGGAGTATTAAAAAAGATTAAAAAACATTTTTCAAGCCTAGTAAGAGTTGCTACGCTTTAATCCGTTCAATTGTTGTTATCTCTAGCAATTCCTATAAAGTCATTTGCTAAACGTATTTTTCATGATTGGCGACCTGATGAAAACATTTCACTATGAAAATATGAATTTTTTACACGAAGCATTACAAAATATCGAAAGAATAGAAAAAAATGACTGTTTTCTATTTGTGTTATGTTTCCTTTTTCTCCACTCTCTCGTTTAAAATTCTACACTACATATGAGTCAAAAGATTTTTCTCACAATTCATTAAAAATGTGTCAGAATCATTTTTCATTTGTAATTTTTAATAAAAACATGATGATGACAACCGAATCTCGATTTGTGTTGTAATATCGAAGGTTTTCCAGTTGGTAGAATACGAAAAATATTCTAGAAGAGAATAAATTACTGACGAGGAAATCTTCTAACGTGATTAGAAACTTTTCTAACTAAAGGTAGTATATTTAGGATAAATCTTGACGCTGATCAATTGGAAATGGTACAGCCCAAAGTCGTGAACAAGATATATGTAAGCGTTAAAGAGCTGGCGAAACTAAATGTTAGATGTCGTACGTATAAACGATTTCTTTTCTATCGATCTTTGATACCACTTTTCTCACCAATGGGGTACAGTACTCTTTTGCAGTATTATATCTTTACCTCTTGAAACAGCCCCCACGTCGACTTGTTTATTGTCAACTGACACTGTTGAAATTTTGGTGACCAATGTTGACTAAGGAAATATCTATATATAGTCTTTGAGTATATAAAGACAAACATTTATGTTCGCAGTCTCTACCATTTCATATATAGTAATTTTAATTAGTACTATTTTCAATAAAATTCCGGCCTGCGCAATTGTTTTTCTAACAGATACAATGTTAATATTTCTGTTTGCAATAATCAAGGTGGTATCGAGCCAGAGCATTAATAGATATTTCTCTACGTATTTTCTCTACGTAATTCTACGTATGTTACACTCAAGCACTCATTATTCCCATCGGTATTAGTGGGTTCTTTCATAGTTGGTTAGTACCTAACGCAAGCTGAAAAATAAATGAATTTTACAATAAATTTTGTTCAAGGTGTTTCACTATTAATATGTTATGTAGCATTTGTCTGTAAGATAAAAACATTCTACTCATCAACACGAAGGTATGCTAGCATAAAAATCACAAAAACATTGAACAATATCAGTCTGGTAGGTTTGATAGTAGCTTGTTTGTCAAAGAAATGTTAATATTCTAATTTTAGCTACAAAGCATGTCGACAAAGTACCGAAGAATTCAATATCATGATTCAACAACTGGAAGCATCTTGTTCCCATCATCTGATTATCGATAGATATTAGTAAAGCTCATAATCTTCTCTTCTTGTTAATCTGTGATCTCTCAGTGGGATATATGATCTATATATGTAATACAACAGTCTACCAAAGCAGAAATTTTCATCATAATCATTCATTCAGACGCATGTAATTGCAACAATAGGACACTACTTGAACTAACAATGAAGTACGAAAATTCAAAAAGTTTTTTGTTTATTCGGTTTAAGTACGAACTAAGCGTCGAGCCTCGCGCCTTCCTTCAATCAACGCTCTGGATTTTAGTCCTCGCCATATCTGTTGTTAGTGATATATCTCACTCAGGCACAGAATACCATGCAAATTTATTGAAGTTACTCCGCACGCTATCGCAACAGAAAAGAGAAATAACCTGCTAAAACTTGACATTTCTTCATTTACCATTCAAAATAACGTGAAGAAGATATTCACGGTTTGGTAGTGCGTTCCGTCTTGTGAACGCCTGTGAGCTCCTTCGCCATTAACCAGTCCATTAACTTGATGAATCAACTCATTCTCTTTACTCTTAATGAGCTGGCCCATGATTATAAATATGTACGTACTCATTTATTCCGTTGACTGTAAGTCTATGGTCGCACGAAATAAAGTGTTTGTGTGTGTATGTTTGTCCGTACAGAGGTGTGACGGACGTAAATACACATAGTCATGTGGCAGTATGATGGATGTACATACACAGAATCACTAATGAGTGTCACGGACATCGGTCCACATAGGTTGATGCATTCGAGTTTTCTGTGAAATATTATATTTTTCGTCACATACTTCAAACATATTATGTTCGAATCTTAGCATCGACGAATCGTGTAATAACCTTGAGGAAGTTACTTATGTCTTGATGCCTCGTATAACAGAGTATTTACTGCGGAGTGATGTACTTTACAGTTCCTCCGGTTAGTGTTCGTAACTTCCAGAAAGATAGTATATGGCTAGTACGTGTGTGGGATGGGGTACTCAGCAATTGGGATAAAAAACTCAGCGTAAGAACAGTCTTCCTACCATAGTTGCAGCTGATAATTAGTAAAGATTTTTTCTTCTAATCCACAGTCAACAACTATGTCCAATCCATTTATTTGTATTACAGAAATATTTTTGCTATTGTTGAACATGATGATTTTGATTCATTTAAAAATGTTATGATGAATAATTATCAACAGGCTGTTAAAATGCGCAATGATCGTCAACAGGTTAATCAACATGAATATGTTAGTAATTGAAACACTGTTTATTATTTTTTAATAGACGGTATTGCATATTATTGTATTGCGTTCATATGCATACGTTTGGATTCGCTTATTATTGATGCGTGAATGCGATGTATCCGCTCAAGATGTTGACGGGTATACTGTCCTTCATTATGCATGTGAACGCGACGATGTAGAAATGTTGAAAGCTTTAACAGTTAAACCACATCCAACAGTGCAACATTTGAATAATGAGCAATTGGAAAAAATCGCTAAAAATTGTCAGAAAGCATTTCGAACGTCGAATAAATATGGTAGGCTTAAACACCACTCTACTGCATAACTGTGGTTCATAATGTAATGATTTGTAGGTATTACTCCTTTCATGCTAGCATGTTTTAAAGGTGCCAAGAAATGTATACAATATTTTCATGAACAACATCAAGAAATTTGTTATGAGCAAGTTAATCAACAAGTTAGTTTTTCCAGTATTTGAAAAAATGCATAATAACGAGTACTTCAGAATAAATCGGTCACTTAGTATTTTGCTCATATCTCAGTTGAATTTTATGTTCTAAGCTTTATTATTTTCTCAAAAGATACGCCGTGAAATTTTCTACAAAAAATATATTAAACAGTTTTCTATATACCGTAAAGATAACAGAATATAGAAGAAATACTGTGAAGCTTCAATCTCGATTACTCTGCAACGCAAGAAAACAGCTTTTTCAATTTTAGCCCTTCATATTTTGCAAAGCGAAAAACAATAAGATGATCATTCGGTAGCCCTTAAAAAGCTCTATCAAGTTGGTATATTTAGAAACTCTTCGTAATCATAATCGGTTGTGGCAGAATTTTTTTTCTTTTATCGATTTTTCTCTAAATCAACATTTTCCAACTGCAGTTTTGACGCAGTTAGAAAAACTTTTATAATTCGGTGAAAATCAAACATTTTGAGCTCGAATTTGTTGTATTTTAAAGTAAAATAATTCTTCTATTGCATCCTTACAGAGAAAATTCAATATCTTCTTTCCGTTTCCTGTTTCACGGCGAAAAAGACAAAATTTCCGTTGTTTTAGTAAATTTTCGTACAATTGTCTTTTGTGTCAGAAAAGTACGTTTACACCGAATCTATGATAGACGAAAACAAAAGACGACACTTGAAAGGATTAGAACTTGGGTTCTGATTCCACCTTTATGCATGACACTGCGCTTAAAAATTATTCTTTTCATTGTTTCTTGCATTGCAAAGTAATCGAGATTGAAGCTTCACAGTATTTCTTCTATATTCTGTTATCTTTACGGTATACAGAAAACTGTTTAATATATTTTTTGTAGAAAATTTCATGGCGCACCTTTTGAGAAAACAATAAAGCTTAGAACATAAAATTCAACTAAGATATGAGCAAAATACTAAGTGACCAATTTATTCTGAAGCACCCGTTATATCTGGGTCAAGCTTCTTTTTCACTGAAATGATTCCTAAGGTATTTTAAGAATTTCATCCCATTTCAGCAAAATGTTACTAACTCCTGATCCAAAGAAAATGGGCATTCTGTTGTATAGCCAAAAACGTAGCCATAGCTCTTTTCTATCCACGGTATGGATTTCGAGTGCCACTGTTATTGGTTACTGAAAAGCAGCTATTTGATGATCGATACTCTCTTCTTGAGATTTGTATTTTTTTTAAAAAGAAATAGTTACGGCTAGTCTTAGAAGTATCATTGGTAGAATCAATTAAGTTGGACATATTTGTCAAACAAAGTCGCGTGTATTGGCTATTGTTTCAATCGAGCAAGAGCGGTCAACGACGGTTTTTCAGAGACAAAAAAACATATTTCTCTGTTACAAATCCATTTAGAAAATTTGTTCAAAAAAGGAACCTTTTAGGTAAATGTTTGATCTATTGGTGGTCTCGATGTTATTGTGACTGTTTAATTATTAATTATTAATTATTTTCTTTGTTCAAATGTACAATGTATAATAGTGTATAGCGGACAGTATAGAATAGTTCAGCAGTTATATTCTTATCAGAACAATTTTCTGATGTATGTCGTATCAAGAACAAAATATTGGATGTTTAAATGAACTATCGGTAACCAAAACAAAGAAAGAGTTAAAAATGCAAACGAACAAACCTTAGAGAATAATCGACATATACCGATAAATATGTCCAAATTAATTGATTCCACCAATGATACTTCTAAGACTAGCCGTAATTATTTCTTTTTAAAAAGAAATACAAATCTCAAGAAGAGAGTATCGATCATCAAATAGCTGCTTTTCAATAACCAATAACAGTGGCACTCGAAATCCATACCGTGGATAGAAAAGAGCTATGGCTACGTTTTGGCTATACAACAGAATGCCTATTCTCTTTGGATCAGGAGGTAGTAACATTTTGCTGAAATGGAATGAGATTCTTAATATCTTGTAAACCGTTTACTTCAAGAGATCGGAACTAGTTGGGTATTTAGTATTGCGCGAGAACTATGCCCACTGTGAGTACTATAAAGCACTTTTTCGTTAGCGCCAAATTGCTTAAAATTTCAACAATACAATTAAATTTTGTCCTCAGATTCAAAACGGTTGCATTCAATGCTCCCTGCAACTTTAAGTTTGACGGATCTCTTCAATATGAAATGATTTTTGCCGCAATGGGATTTAGTCTCAGAGGGATACGAGCGTGCATCCTTTGTTTCACAGATTTTCAAAATTTGTTAGTTGGTTTTGGCTAAGATGCGAAATAAATCAAATGAAAAGTATAAAATTCAATAGAGTAATAAATGCTCTATCCAACCGTATAAAAATAAAAAACTTTTTAAGTTTTTCAGAAATACAATAAACTGAAAAAAAAGATCAAAAATAACGTAATCAAGCTGTAAGTTCTTGCATTTTTCCAGCTCTTTAATTCGCTCAGACATTAGTCACATATTTTTCTTTGCCTATCAGATCTAAGCTTTTTTTTGCAAGAATACAACTTTTAGATAAAAAAATCGAATCTAGCTGCATCGAGCAATACTAGTTGCTTTTTTTTGTACTTTCATAGTAATTTGTATTTCGTTGTACTCTGAGTCTTGTTCTACCATTGTATTGTTTCAATAAATCAATTATGCATTGGTTTTTGTTAAATATGGCAATGTCTAATGGACTCGGACGAAGTAGACTAGCATTACTATCACCTCCATTGACATTCCCACAGCATTGATTTAAGATAAATTCTGCTAATTGAATGTTGTTTCTAGCTACGGCATAATGTATACAAACATCACCA